GCCGTTCTTCTTTCCTCAAATAAGATGTCTGGCCGCAATTGGTCCTTAAAGAGGATAAGCGGGCATCCCAGCGGGCATTTGCGATGTGCCAAAGGGCTGCGCCCACAGCTCTGAGCACCGTCGGTCTCTTTGGCCCCTGAGGATGTGCTGGGGCTGCTTCCCGGGGTCCCTCCCTGCCCGGCCCCTGCCTGCCGTCACCAAGGGAGCGCCGGCTGCCCTGCTGGATCCCCAGGGGTGTGTGTGTGTGTGTCTGGGCCTGGTGGGTCACGTCTAGCCCCTCGAGATAAAGGCTGGCGCTTAATGCTCAGCGGCCTGCTTCTTCTGCAGAAGCATGAGAAACGGCAACCAGTCCCCCCCCCACCTCTCCCGCCTTGCATGGAAAAGGCCGAGGCGTTTTCTGCCAGAGAAAGTCCTCTTGTCTTGACTCTCTCCTCGTGTGAGGAACCTCAGGGAGGCAGCTGCGAACAAAGCAGGATTCTTCCCCTCCCCAGGATGGAGGTGCACATTGAGGCGTGAGGGGCAAGACCGAGGCCCCGGTTGAAGTCAGCCACTCTCAGGCCTCTATGGAAATCTGACGCCCATGCGCATGCATGCACGCACACACACACACACACCCGACCCCCTTCGCCCAGCAAGGTGGGTGAGACAAGGGAGGCATCTGCCCCTCCTCATAGGAACCCAGCAGCAAATGACGAGTCGGGGGGGGGCAGGAAGGAACACTGCACGCATGCACGCACGTACACGCCAGGCCGCCTGATCAGTTGCCATGGCAGCAACTCAGCCCAGCAGGGCCAGCCTCCTTCAAAGCCAGACAGGAAGTGCAAGTGGCAGGGGAGAGGACAGGTTTCGCACCCTGAGCCATCCCGCTTCTTGGCTGGCATCCTGTCTTGCAAAGCAAACCCACTTCTCTCTCTCTCTCTCCCCTCCTGCTTGGTCAACATACCCAGGTCCAAGGAACAGACCGGGTACGGTCCTGTCCTGCCTGGGAAGGAGGGGAGGGAAGGCACCAGGCCCGTCCCGTATTCGAGGTTCTGCCCAGGAGAGGGAAGGGGAGCGGACGGGGGTCCCCGAAAGTACCTACCCAGGTGGCACCGGAGGCGGATGTTGGTGGGCCCGTAGTGCTCGGCGATGACGGTGCCGGGGGTGAGGACGGAGAGGCAGGCGTTCCCAAAGATGTTGTTCCCCAGGCAGGTCCGGAGGCTGCCGAGCAAGCGGTAGGTCCGGGGGCACCTCCGGCAGTTGCGGGGCAGGCAGGTGCCCTGGCGGACCAGGGAGAAGGTCAGCCACTCCCCGCTGGGTGTGCTGTGGACCTTCCAGCCCTGCGGGAGGCTGCCGCTGGAGAAGGCCTGGTAGAGGGCCTCGAACTCGCCGGCGATGGTCTGGGCGTTGCGCTCCAGGAGCTCCACGTCGTGCTTCTGGGCCTCCCGGGAGAAGTAGGGGGCCGTGGGCAGGTCCGGCAGGAAGAAGACCTCCGGCCGCTGGATGGCCGGCCGGCTGCTCCGGTAGCGGCTCTGCTCCCGGATGGCCTTGTGGATGCGGCCCATGCCCGACCAGGAGTAGCGCTTGGCGTACTCCTGCAGGTGGTGGTAGAGCTTCTGGTCCAGGCCCTCGCCCCGGGCCCAGCGGGCGCACTCCAGGGAGCGGCCGCCGCTGTAGCCGTTCGGCTGGCT